AAAAAAAAAAAAAAAAAACTAAAACTTTTTCAGATTAAAAAAGTTTAAAAGTTTCATTTATGGACTGAATTTTTTCATATTTTCCTTTAACAAAATGTGAACAAAATTAACTCCATAGTGTCAGTTGCTTCTTATCACAGCCTTCATCCTGAACCTTGCTAGAGTATTCACACCTCTTGAGCTTTTTTTTGCATTTTGAAACTGAAACTTTTATTCACTTAATGTTACGACTTTATTCTCGTAATATTACGACTTTATTCTCATAATATTACGACTTTATTCTAATAATATTACTAATTTATTCATGTAATGTTACGACTTTATTCACGTAATGTTACGACTTTATTCACGTAATGTTACGACTTTATTCACGTAATGTTACTTTATTCACGTAATGTTACGACTTTATTCTCATAATATTACCACTTTATTCAGGTAATGTTACAACTTTATTCAGGTAATGTAACGACTTTATTCTCATAATTTTACGACTTTATTCTCATAATTTTACGACTTTATTCACGTAATGTTACGACTTTGTTCTCGTAATATTACGACTTTGTTCTGGTAATATTACGACTTTATTCTCATAATATTACGACTTTATTCACGTAATGTTACCACTTTATTCTCATAATGTTACGACTTTATTCAGGTAATGTTATGACTTTATTCTCATAATATTACAACTTTATTCAGGTAATGTTATGACTTTATTCTCGAAATAAAAGAAAAAAAATCTCTCTATCTCTCTCTAGCCTGGCCCTAATACTCCGTCATATATTAAGGCCTCATTATGTTTTGATATATTTTGTTTTGATATACAGAATAAATATTACTCAAATGAAGCCCATTGTTACAACTAATCATGGGTCCCTTTAGTACAACCTTTCTTCAGTTTTTAATTCTCTGTCTTGGTTGTTGACAGCTGCGTAAACGTTTGGATAAATGTACATGTCTCATCCTAAATCATTTCAGCGTAGCGGCTAATGCTCTGAAATGTTCTGAATCTAGAATCCAGCTAATGAAATAC